ATTTCCAAATTTAGGAAAAACCACACTAGTTATATACTTATATATCGGGAGGATAAATACAAACAAATCACTTCTATCGTAAATTTTTGTAGTATGTGTCGCAAGTTAAAACGTAGGCTATAATGTTGTACCCTTATTGTTTTAACCAATTTACCWCTTTCCTAAAGTTCATAACAAATATTGGAAATTCAAAGACCTTATTGTGCATTTGCTCAAGGTTAGGTAAATCATCAAATAATAAATATAATATGACATCGTATCCAAAAAAATTCAACAAACCTAATTATTGTTGGTGGAAGTGTATAACATAAAACCACAACGGCGTAATTATTTATTCATTCAACGTACAATATTATTTATTAGCGCACATGCTGTGTTGACATCCGACAACAACAAACCGTTAATCTTGAATTACACGGGTATTAAGTACGCATCGATTATCACGATGAACTCACAATAATGTCAATATAATATTATCCTTTTAAGATTATGAAAATATTTTTAAAAAATCCAATCTACAACTTACATAAGAAAATAGACTATCTAATCATGTTAATAATAATGTTATTACTAGCTGTTAAAAACTCGCACTCGGATTCTCACCATGACAATGAAATTGATCCCGTATTACGGACTACAGTGCACGATTAATTGTACGTAGTACTATTATCCTCGTCCGTTAATCAATTTATATGAAGGTATTTCGTGAATGAATCAAACACTGCAGGAAAACGAGACCACTTGGTATTTTTTTCACGTTACACTAATATTACTCCATCAAATTGAAAACAACTAACTATTATGAAATATGAAAATAATAACACCTGTTGTGTTTTTCAATAATGTTCAATACATTTCTAATGACACTGGCAGAATAATTATTAAAATGTAAAGCCTATATTCCACGAGCATACGCCATACAAATAACGCGACCGTCCGTAACGAGTAATGGCTGCAGTAACTACTTACTGGCAACTGGTACAAAAACGAACGTCGTTATCAATCACATTCTCGCCTCTCGGCGCTCATCGTTAATCGCTCTTTATCAGCTGCTAGTCTCGTTAAAAAGAAACATAACCACRATGGACCTCAAACGCACGTAATTATTATTTATAATAGTAGTCTGTTACTTGTTGGTACCCACTACCTATAACAAATAACAATATTATTGTGCGTTACATTTCACTAGCGGATCAGAGCGGCTGTGAGATTAAGACAACCCTGGCAATRTGTGTTTACGCGCGAGTTTACGTTCCGGGTGTCAGATAGATAAGAACAAAATAAAAACAAAAATTAAARTAATCGTAATAATAATAATTTTTTGAAAAAAATAGTAGTGTTTTCGCGAAGTCGGCGAAGATGCTGTAACTGTTGACGATTATAAATCACAGCGAATATAATATCGAATAAACAATGACGTGGTGAAAATTGTTCGATTGKGGAGAAAACACGACCTTGAAAATCGTGTCCTTGAACGCGGTACACGATGTGTAGTCCTTGGACCACGACTACGAGTCCGTCTTCTCTGGATACCACATACGAGCGCGCGCGCAGCACTCACTACACACACATACACATCGTGCTAGAGTAAGAGACCGTCGGATTTTTACACCGCGTGACGACCGATACAAGACGCAGATCCGAGATCATTTATCCGGTTAGTGTCGTTGGTGGTGTGTTTAGTTAAAATGTTAAATAATAATATTATTTGTATGGTTCGCATCGGTTGTTTTCCATTTGAAAAAAAAAACTGAACGGGGCAACCACTTGTTATGTAACACGATGGATGTTTTACGATTATTTTTTTTTTTTTGATCTTACTAAATTTACCAGTGCACTGTCGAAGTCCTCTTCCTCCTCCTCCTCTTCCTCCTAGGCGGCGGCGGTGGCGGCTGCGGCACACTCGCATGCACCATACACTAACACGACAATCGAACGCACGCACGCGCAAGAATCGACAAAACAAAATATTATATCAAATAATATAATAATATACAAGAAAAACAAAATTTAATAACAATATTACGATTCGCGCAAGAAAGACGGGACCAACGGCGCACCACTCACACACGAGACAKAGACGCGGCGAAAAAAATGTTTCGCAAGATATTTTGGCAAAAACGGTAACACTCGCTATGAAGTAATCGACGATAAGCGCTAGGACCATTGACGACAATCTGACATGTCGGTTAACTATAAACTACAATATAGRAGGTACCTCCTTTTAATAAATTACAGAAAAAAAAAAATTATAATAATGACTTTTTTCCGTTAAACGGGAGCTGATGACAGTGCTGAATATTTCTACTATGTGATCACTACGATTTATTTTATGGTCGTTATAATAATAATATTATGATATACACGAACGGGCGGCGTGTGTAAGTGTCCGGACAACCGAGAACGTCGCACTGTGGACGTCTGTGCGTATCGCGACCGCGGGCCATCGTTCCCCACTATTTTTTCGATTAAAAATATTTCGATTATGTGTGCACACGTTTTTTTTCTCCGTTTCTTTTCTCCGCATAGATTGTTTTTTATCTTGTTTCTTCCTTTTCGGCTCTTACCGGCCTGTTTTCTCAAAACAGTACATCAACAATGCCCCATCGATTTGTAATATTTGTGTATTTGTCAATTTATTGTTCATGCCGAGCGGTCTTGACCGTATCCCCACTCTCCCATCGACCATAGACCCTCCGGGATCTTKCGTCGTCGTCGTCGTTGTTTTTGTTGGTGTTGCTGTGGTTGTTGCTGTTGTTGTTGTTGTTGTTATTATAGTCTCTTTAAACTAAGTCTTTACTTGCCACCACATACCGAGAAAATTGTGAAGAGGGGATAGAAAATACCAAAAAGGGAACATCCCTTAGTACGGCCGACGGGATGATACACGCATTCTGTAGCATAGGTCATAGACTACCTTCTAGCAAATATTGCAAATCGCAAATGGGATAAATTATTTATTCTAGTACAAATAGTACAATGGTGTAAATATATAAACATATTATAAATTATAATATGTATTGTATAAAATATATATATTATATTATGTACCTATAATATTGTTATATTGGTAAGCGTTATCGTTTGAATACTACAATATATTAAACCGTGAATCGAACATTCAGTTAGTTTAGATTACAAATGAACATTGTATTAAACTGATAGGACAATGGTTTGCTAATCTATAACGCAGACAAAATGTTTATTTTAGTTCTTAAAGAAAATTATGTGGTAAATCAAAAATCTCATGCAATATTATTATATCATGTCTATTGTTATACACGAGGATTGAAAAATATATGATACGAATACTCGATATTTTATGAAAAGTGACTTATAAAATATTAACGATTACCCTTAATTTATTTTAAGCTTGTAAATATATCATATGAAATAAAATAATGTAAATTTGTATTGATTAGTGACTACTGGATTCAACTCAATTATAATTAATGTATGTTTAATAAAACAAATGAACTAATGACATTTGTAATCGATAAGTTTTAAATCTATAAATTATCGAATTACTTAAAAGTTATGGATTATATAACCTAACGACATCTAAACATGTACTAAATATATGCATATATTTAATTATAATTATATAATTAAATATAGATTTAAAATACCAAAACTTGTCAGTTTAATAATACTTTGTAATATTGTAATATCRAATACAACATCGTGAAGCGAGACTTCTTATGAAGTAGCGGCTTCCACTGTGGAAATTTGCTTCCCCCATAATTCGTAAATTTAACATGGATATTACTACATTAGTTAATAATTATGAGTGATTATAGTTATTAGTTATTAGTTATTATCATAGTCTAAAGTTATAAATCATAAAAAAAAAATAATACCTGTTCAAAATTAGTAGATAAGATTTGAATTTCACATTTGCACTTTAGCCTATACGCTCTATTACAGTCTGTTGTAATCTAAATTATGTATTGATCATAAKGATTTGGTCTCGAAAGACTTCAAATTGCAATTTATTGAACCTAATAATTTATGAATTTCGCTTATGAAAAAAAAGTTGACAATGACCATAGATACATTAAATTTTCACCGAATGCTTATATAAGTATATTCTATC